TAGGAGAAAATGCAAGAATGCTTAAATTTTTTTATTTTCAACGAGGGAGAGCCGTTTATTACTTCATTTAACCTGTTTTAATTGGCAAAAAATAATTCATGTGACATCCAAAATTAGGCATGGAATAAGGTTCAAAATATGCTATTTAATTCATCTTCCAAAGTAGGCATAAATTTTGCGCTCGTTCTCAAAGTTACTTAAAAGGAAAAAAAATCGGTCTCTATTATAAGCCTACTTGCATTCATTCCCACATTTTGATGAGCAGAGATCAACGACGGATTCTGGGGATAGGTTTTTGAGGTCGAGGATTGAAATGAGGTCTTTGAAACCGTCTATACAATTCACTTTCTCGTCTGCTGTAGTTGCGGCTTCTAACCACGCTAAAATAGCGCGTAACTTCGCGTCCACAGTCACATTTGAGAGTCGACTGTCCGACATCAAAGAGACCAAACATTCTAACTCGGCAGGAAAAGGAAAACGTAAGTGTTTCGAGAAACTATCAAAGTTGCTTGCGATCACTGGTACGCAGGCACTCAGAAGATCCTTGTTCATTGTTGCATTGGCAATTGACCAGTACACTTTAACGTTGTCTTTTGACAGCCTTTAAAAGATAAAACAGTTTAGTATGACACGAGTCAAAAAACCGATTAAATAATTCGTCCAGTTTTAATGTGGTGACGAGGATGTGATAGAATCGATTGTCGAATGAGAGATTATTCAGGGAAAAACCGACCTGCTTCTAAGAAATTCGATACATCCTGAAACAAGTGACGAACAGCCAAGGTTTGTTGCAATCAAGTAAAGAAAAGATGCATTATCCAATGAAAATTCCACGCGTCCGGTATAAGCATACGTGATGACGGCCTCCACGATGCTAAAGTACGCGAGTTCATGTAAAATGCTTTGCCTTACTTCGTACTAAAACGTCTCCATTCCAGAGTCGAACGTCCACCCTCTGTCACAATATCCTCGATTGCTGGAAATCGGGCAGCGATGAGAAAACGATGTGCAGATACCTCAATTCCTTCCTTGGTCTGACGGTTAATACACAATTTATCCCACGAACTTATCATTATTTTCAAATCAACAAGCTTTCCCAAGCGACGCAGTCTCTCGAATTGCGCAAAAGGCACTTTTACATCCAACTTCTCTGTGTAGACCCATTTGCTTGTTGCTTCCATCTCACCAAACAGCGTTCTTGATAACGTATGCAAGTACGAAACCTACGCTTGCTCTGTTATCGCGGCGTCTGCAACTTGTCACTGTGGTAGGAGAACTGCGCTATTAGCGTTATATTTAGTCTGCAATGAAATTCCTGCAAACAATCACAAACTGGTATTGATTGCGGTGTGTGCATGTGTTGCATTGGAGACTATGGGTAACATTGTAAGTGTGTGGAAGGAGTACGACTAATCGCCATTGCTATTCACACCCGAGTTACTATAATCAAGATTTATGCGATTGATAGTACTGTGCACTTTTAAAAATATTCCATTCTAACCATTTGCGTCTAGAAAAAAAAGAACACAAACCTTTCAAAGAGTGAATTTTATCGCTAGTGTAAGCAATAGCATGATCTCAAAAGCACCTTTAGCCACATTTAACTCAGCCATTTTTAATTTGCATAATAATATACACAGGTAATCATCGTTCCAATTCCGATTATATCTAATTTGTATATTTTTTATAAAGGCAAAAGTATTACGGTGGATGCTCGTGGTCCGCCGGCTTATTCCGTAGTGCTTCTCAGGGGTAATGCCAACATTTCCCACGAAAACTAAATTACTTTTGAGAATTGGAACATTAATTTACCCTTTGCCGTCACGCTATATCGGTTTTGACATTAGCAACCGGCAGCGGATTAACAACGATTGCGCCTGAGTGAACCCTATTTACTGATCTGACGGTGACCATGACTCATCCTTTTTTCATTGGTTACCGTTATCAGACGCCTGTCATTCGTTCACACAACGACACACTAAGACAAACACTGAGCTGGTGTGACGCTAATAAACGGTCGTGTCCTCTGTCACCTCTTGTTTCCCACTTTTTTGGGTTTTTACAGGCTGGTAACTAGAAGATTGTAAGGTAGCGCTAGACCACAAGCCACCAAAAACTCATTACCCAGTGTTAATCGCTCAAATCATCAAACCAACATCGCCCAGGCACGAATGAATAGCACTTATGAACATGCAATTGACTCTCGCCTTTACTTGTGGTTGGACCGCTGGCTGAGTACCAAAAAAAATCAACTGTGAAAAACTGGTTGATGGGTGACTAGGTCGACTGGAGAAAATTTGTTTAACTTATATTTGGAACTATTGAAATAAGTGAAGAAAAGCAGGGTATATTCGGATTCAATTGATGATTTTTAGCTCTGGCAGTACTTTTTTTACAAATTAATGAAGCTTATCGTCGAAGCTTACCTGAGAGCAGTAGCGCAGTGATATTTGCTGAACTTGTAATTGTTATTGAACTTAGGTTCAACCACTAGTTGTGGGACAGATGTCATATCTTCTCCAATTGATTGTTTATATATACACATATCATGCTAATTTTATTTTGTAAACACAAAATATGATTTTAAATAAATATCTCTGGAGTGTGAATTGTATCTAGGTTGCAGATTAGTTAAGGTGTAGGCGATCTTGGAGGTAAACAGAAATTTCACAGTCAAATAGCGGTAACTGCTGGACCTAATCAAATTATCAATTTTTTTCCCTCTATTCCGTTCTTCTTAGTAGGAATAAGCATATACTCAAGTCAAAGCATAATTACATTCATGCTGGTTTCCAATAAATTAGATTGCGTAATTGTGGACTGAGGCAAACTGAAACAGTAATCGCACTCCTTTAATAAGGAATCTTTGCATATATCTAACAAATCCTAGTGAACATTACCATAGTATTTTCAGAGGAATAAGGCCTGATTTTGTGACATGAAGCTTTCACTTAAATTTTCGATTTCGCCTGTGGTTGCATATTTAAGATGGCAAATTATCTTATAAAAGCAGGGGACCGACGCGACTTACTTATTTGATGCCATATCATTGTAATGAAAAGAAATATTTTTAAATGAAATATTTTTGATATCCGGAGTATGTGCATTTAATTTTATTAGAAATGAATTCGTTAAAATATAATCGATTGCTATTTACTCTATGTCAAGACAAAAATGGTGATACCAGCCAAAGCCACAGACAGAAACCCAGGGCTAATGTTTAGTGTCGACATCAAGGTGGCACAAGCATCCATTGATAATACATTTTAATTTAATTTATAGTACAACATATATTGAGCGACCTGAAATCCTTCAGTCACTGACAAAGGCACCGCAGTTCTATTTTATTTTAAAAAAAATCACTTACTGCAGTGACATTCGAAGTTTAGTCCGAACTCATTTGCATTAACTTAACGCACAAGAAC